GGGGGGGAAACGCCCCTCGAGGGATGCTCCGCGCAGGGAGGGGGAACGTCAACCCAACGCTGACCCGCCGTCCAGCCCTTTTCGGACTCTTTTTTGGGGGAGGAGGACAAGAGACATGCCAAGGGGAGGAGGGAATCGATGCCGAAGCCCCGACCGCCTTCCCCAGGGGGGGCGAAGCTTGAAGTGGAGAAGAAGTATTTCATAGATCACCCTAGGCGCTCCTGAGGTTTTGGGGGTGAAAATTGCATTTTGCCGTCCCTTAGGACGAACCGAATACGCCCGGGATTGGGGCGGGAGAGGCTGGATTTATCGAGGGATTTATTTACAGAGGTGGAAGCGCCGCAGACGGAGCAAAACCCTCCCCATCCCCACGCGGCTGGGATGAGATTTAAGGCTCCGACCGGCAAAAAGCTCAGTGGGGAGGGACGGGGCGGGGAAGAGAAGGGGAAAATCGGGCCACGTCATGGCGCTGCCGGTTTGGGGAGGGTTCCCTACTTTTCGGGTGCTGGAGGTTGTTGACCAAAACCTGGCAGAATCCGCCCATTTCCGCCCCCCCCCCGCATCATCTCGAGGGGAAAGGGAAGGAGGGAGGTTGTCCCAGGAGGCACAGGTTCAATCCCCTTCGGATTTGAATTTGTTTTAATCTTTGCGGAAGGGGGCACGTGCAAAGATGAGGTGGAGTTACTGCTTTCGGGGCTGCTCGCTCCCTCAGATTGACCAAGAGTCATCCTTTTGGCTGGACACCCCCCCCCCCTCCCCAGCCAGTTCCCAAGCTACTGGTTTAGCTACTCCCAAGGCGCTGGTTCAGCCTTGAAGGGGTTCGGGCTGTTGAGTGAAATTAAACCTTCAAGTCGAGACAGGAATTGGCAGCCAAATTTCCCAGCTTTGGGGGAATAATGGGATTTTTATAGAGTAAACGGTGTGGTTTTTTGCTGATCAGAAGGGATCAGGGCTGATCCCGAAGCCTGATCCAGCTTGATGCAGCACAGGGCAGGGAGAGGAGGATGCTAACGCCCGGCTAATTCTTAATATTTTTGGCATTTTGACACAAAAAAAAACCCGGCCGTCCTTCCTTCTTACGGTCCCGTACGGAGGACAGGAACGAGAGTGGCAGGCCAAAGGGGTGAGAGGCAAAAAAAAAGGCATCGCGTTTGCGTCGAGCAAAGGTTTGCAGCGCTGGAAAGTATTCCTGGTGGGGTATTGCTGTTGTTTTCCTTACGGAGTCAAGCACGGAAATAATCAGTGCGCGCAAGCTATCGGCCTCCCGGCTGCCGGTATTTGGTTTGTTCGTATAAAACCACTTTTACTCACATCCCGGCGAGGAGTTTCGGAGAGATACGAACCCTCTCAAACCCCTGGAAAATAAAACCAACCTCGAGAGGATGCTGGCTGGCAGATTTCCCTACCCGCTCACCCCCAAATCCTGGGCTTGGATGGCAGCGGCGCGGGGCCTTCCCCGCCTGTAAACACGATTCGCTTTACTGGGGTCTTACCGGGAACCGGCGGGGCAGCGCTGGAGGTTTTGCTTGGACTTTATTGATAGTTTCTTGCTCCCTAATTCACAGTTTGAACGCCTGCGTGACAGAGTAAGGGCTCGGAAAGGAGAGGGAAGAGCCGCGGGGAGGGAGGGGAGAAGGTGATGGCGGCGAAGGGCCGGGGCCGCATTATCTTTTTGCTCGCACAAAGTACAAGGCATTTGTTTTGGGATAGTATTTCACGTTTTGTTTCTTGTCCATGAGGCCACCGAATATGATTAACTCCCCTCTGCCTTGCACCACCGTGTGTAAACTGGTTTCGGGCGGCCCCACCACCGAACTGCTGTTGAACACTTTCCATTTGACTCGTCCTTGTTCCTTGGTGTCTTTAATGTCCAGCACGTACATCTGCATGGGTTTGCAGTTCATGCTCTGGTACAAAGGCTTCCCCACGTTGAGGGATTGGGGAGGGTGGTGGCCCAGGCGGCGGGCGATGGGAGGTAAGGAATGGCCGTCGCCTTGGGTAGAGCCCGGACGCGCTGCCGAGCCCGCCT